CTATACAGTAAATATGTGTGCACGCGTCAATATATTTTATATTTTAGAATTGAAATTTTTAGAAAGATTGCAAAACTAAAAATACTACAGAATAATATTTTTTAAAAAACATTAACAACAAATTACGGTTTTATAACTTTTAATGATTGTATAATAATAATTTAGATACGTAATATATTCACAAGTTAAGATTTAAATGACGCAACTAACTCTACATAGGTTACTAATGCTCATGTAAATAAATAGCTTCTTAGTGTGCTCGAGTTTCTTGATGCATAAGGATCATTTCATGGTAGGAGAGTGCTAAGTGCTTAACAAAACTCTTTACACGCGATTGCAACGTGTACGCATATTACTTGATCATAAGGCACATATATAATGTTAATGGAATCAATGAAAAAATATTTTTTAATTATATCTATAAATTTATATCTATAAATTTAAAAAATGTAATTATAATATTATATATATTAGGTCGGGAAAAAACTTTCTTCGTATTAAAAAAAATTTTTTTTTTTAATTTTTCATTTATTGCGAAATTTTCGTTACAATTATATTATTTGCTAGAGCAAAGTTTCAGCTTTAAGAATCTGTTTTTAAAATTGCGGTATGATGATTTTTATCGGAATTATGAGCAATTACAAAGTTAGAATGCTCCTATACTTAATTCGCGAATAACTCAGTAAACAAAAAATCATAGGAACATTAAAAAAAAATGATTTTGTAGTTTCAAGCTTTCACGATAGGTAGTCGAAAATTTTTGTAAATTTTTTTTGAACATGTGAGAGACCCCCAAAGCATCTTTTTCAGCTTATAGTTTTTTAAATGTAAAAATTACCAAACTTACAGAAACTCAAAAAATATGGTAACCCTTTATAAGTAGAGATTTCAAGCTTTAAAACTTTTTTTTACATTTAAATTTTGTTTATTTTTGATGAAAATATTGTATATACAATTTTGAATTAAAAAATACGAAGAAATTTTTTCCCCGACCCAATATATCGGTAACATTTTATAAAACAAATAAATTAATTAATTGATACTTGAATGAAAAAATATATTAACATTTTATTGAGTTATCGAAAAAAGCTAAAATGAGTCTTAATTTTTACTGCTTAAATAATAGTTTAATAACTATAAATAATTATGATAAAATTATTTTATTATTTCTGAATTTAAAAAACTATGTTATTTTGATAATTTTAAATCGAGTCTTTAAATTATATATTTATTAAAGTATGATTAATTATATATATATATTCCGTAGTATTACCACAAATTAAACTATTAGTTTAAAAATTTATTTAAAGAAATTAAAATATGAATATTTTCTATACATTATATTTCAATGTGTGGCATATTTTTAATCAAAATTAAGACAATGGACATTTAATTTACTTCAAACAGTGTGATTATGTATAATGTGATAATAGAAAATATTTTATGCAAAAGTGATTTTGTGATGTATACATATATTTTTTTGATATATAAAAAAAAGATATTTACTAGTACAACAACGTAGGGATTAGAATAAATAGAACGGAGAACATAGAGCAAACCATAATAGTCGATACGATTACCCAATCGTCTAATGCCCGATCATCCAATGAAGTGTTATTCTGTAATAAAGAAAAATAATATATGTATGTATATAACAAATAAATATAAAAAAGAAAGTATTAAAAGTAACGAAATATGCACAAATATCTAAATTTGCACACAAATATATTAATTTTTTAATTATTGGTAAAAATTGTATCCAAATTTCTTGAATATATAATCTTCTATAAAAATCACTTATAAAAATAAAAGTTGCGAGTTAAAACATTATATATAATATAAAACATAAATTTTTCTTTAGAAAACAAAAAGTTTTAGAGCGAGAAAAATTTTTTCTGAATCGGAGCAATAAATAAAAATAACATGCGTATATTATATTTCGCGCAACTGATTAGCTCTTCTCTTTACTCGATACTGTATCGATTTTGTGCAAACTAGCGCGACTGATTGGAATTCCCAACGCACGTTTTGCAAGAAGGCGTTAATCCTTTAAAGTAGTGATAACACAACGAAACTTTATAATCCAGTTTTGGACGCGTATTCTCTCAAGCGCGATTCCTTCTCTACCCTTTCCTTTATTTTCTTTCCACGCTTTCGTCATGAAATGCGGTTACATCGTGAGGCTTATCTATTGTTTTGCTTAACTGAAGATAGGAAAATTGGCAAATCACATAAAATAGGGAAATTTTTGTTACAAAATATGGGAATTTACGAAAAATTAAAGATTAGAATTCAACATTATTGTAGACATTAACATGTAACTGTAGAAAATTTATTATAAATCTCCATTTTCTTAGTCTGATATTCCGAAAAGTCAACGGCGATTTAATTAAAGGATAGAAAGGTTAAATCTTTCTACCAAGATCTCTAAATGGTCGCTTGTCCCGCAAGCCTTTCAAGTTATAGAGAAAAAGACTGCTGGTAGAAAGGGTGAGAAGCTATCTCGTGAGTATTACAAACGAGATGAAAGATGAGAATACGAAGTACTCATTACGTTGGTACTCGACATCTCGTTGAGATGTAACCGCGATACCATAATCGACGATCAAAGATTTGCGCTAAGGAATTAAATGTATTTTTTATTGAATTACTCGGAGAACGATTAACTCATTTCAAAGCGAATCCTTTAGGTCAATTTTCTCCAAGCAATCGCTCCGCATTCTTCCCAGAGATTGATATTTTAATTCCCTTAATTACAGTTTTTACTTTCACGCTGCGTTTCGATAAATACTAACTGCGATACTAATATATATTAATTTACTTGATTTATGGCAACAAAACGAAGTAACTACTCAACTTTGAAATTGACCTAATGTACATGGTGCTCATATATTTTAGTACTCTATAATAACATGGTTTTTGTCTTTGCAATTTTTTGTCGCAAGTGATTTTTTTCTATTTTTGTTAATCATAAATTCTTGATGTTATCTTTTCAAGGTAAAATGTACTATTTTATCAAAGTGCGCTTGAAATGTATTTTGCAAAACACAGCCTATTATATTTTGTCAAGATATGACAGAATTATCGCTTGCAGTTCAGTAAACATTGATATATTTCAGATTACTTGCACAGCGTTATCGGAATATAACCGGCGTTTTCTCTCTTTTTCAGAAAGTGCATGATTAACCAGAAATTTTCAATGTTTATTTTACTTTTATAAAACAGTTATTATCGTGGCAGATAATCACTACAGTAGAAAATCGGCAGTATAAACGTAGGATGAAATAATTGCAGACTATATTTGCATCTCGTAAGTGTACTTGCATATATAAATAAGAAAATTTTATCATTAACGTTTTACTATTATACACGTAAAAATATGTAGCATAGAAGATTATAAAACTTGTTTTATTGATTAAATTGTAATTGACAAAATTGCATATTTCAAATTTATATGCACAATGCAGATAAAGATATTTATATTACCCTATTAAAGATAAAATGTACAAATATTTCTCTCTATCTATTGTATATCTAAAATACACACTTTTATTAATGAACTAAAATCTTGAAGGCACACAGTAAAATTAAAACCTATTTTACTTTAGTAAACACAGTTACGTATAAAATCTTTAGAAAAGGTTAATATTAACGATATATATCGCATTGAGCGCGAAATAGCCAAATCTAAACTTTTACAATTGTATCGTGATTGTTTTATTCACTTCCATTTTAATTTACGTGCCTATTTAGTATACGTAATTGGCGTTCGAAATTTGCAGTGTATCTGGTTGACCGAGGCTGTCCGTGTCAGACGGGAAATCGAGCGGCGCGGACAACTTGTCTTTCGATCCTCATTAAAACTTTCGCCAACGTTGCTTTTCCAAGGAATAGCTTATTGTTTAACTTGGCTCGTTATCATTATTTGACCTAAAAATGCAGTATCGACCACGGATGAACGGGTTAATCGCGCGACAAACGCGCGCACTTACAGCGATGACTTAGCGCCACGTTTGCTACTAAATTTTACAACCTGCCTCGGTTACTAAGACAATATATTTATGCAGTCAACGAAATTGTGTCAACTTTTACTCTAATCACGCTTAATGCTGAAAGCTTAGGTGAGATAACTCCAATTTCAATACCGTTATTTTTATTGAGTTACTATCTTTACGTGAATTTAATTAAGTATCCAGTAAAGTTTCTAATTTTGTAAATTTTCATTTCTAACAACACAATCTTTTTTTTCATAAAAACATTTGACTGGGTATGTAATATAAATACAGAGTATGCGAAATTATTTAATTTTTCTACAACACAATAAATTAAAAGATACGCGAAAAAAAAATGATGTTGTATCAATAGCATTATTTTAATTGAAAATAATTTTTGTTAATTTAATAACACTATTAATAACATAAATACTTATGCTCTTATTTTAATAAAATTTTATTTATTTTTATTTATTTTATTAATACTGTTGTTAAATCAACAAGAGATTATTTTTAAAATAATGTTGTTGAAACAATATCACTTTTCCAATGTACTTTGTATTATTTTATAAATGATTCATTATATGTGTGTGTGTGCACATAGAAAAAAATTATATTATATAATACAAATTATATTATATTAAATTTAAAATTGGGAGAATTGATTAAAATGCATATTTTACGTTTTTTAACATAAAATTGATCAGAATATCTAAAATTGGCATATAAGACAACTTTAAAATAACTTTAAGAGTTCTTTAAGTAAATATCTTTAAGATATTTTATAAAGGACTTTGAAAGATATCTTAAAATTGTTTTACGCGTCTGTTTTAAATATTTTACTCATTGGATTGAGAGAAATATTAAAATTTATTATAAAAATTACAGATTAAAGTTATACAATTCGTGAGATTTATATAATTCGTGAGATTTAATGGAAAAAATGATAATGTCGAGCGATAGCAAATTTTACAAGATAGAACATTTGGATTTGACAAATATATATACCTTCATTTCTTGTGCATAGCTGTGTCTGTAAAGGATGCAGGTGAGCAGCAGTATCAGCAGCAGATCCCGCGGAAACATTTTCGTTGTCAATGCTGCAAATGACGGACGGTATGACATGTTTTTACCTGCGTCGTAGTATTATCTGCCCGAGCTGGCTAGTGGCAACGATAACGCGTGCGATTGACGGATTGTCATTGTTCGAAGGCCTTTATCGCTTGCAACTACAATTTCGTAAGCTTATCTTATCTATCGCGTTAACCATGTAAAACAACTGTATGTGTTTTAAGTATATGTAGGTAAGCGCCTATTAAAAGTTAAGACTCTTAATCCCCTTTCGCAAAAAAATTAAGTTAATTATTTTAGTAAGTTTAATTTATACTATTGTCTAATAAGTATTTATTTACTTAATATCAATCAAAAATTAAAAATAATATGCCATTATATTAATAATTATATTACAATACAGGCTAAAAAGTATATTATAATATATAATTAATATTAATCATATTAATAACAGTATAATAATCTAATATTAATAGCTACTATAAAAGTTATATTTGATATTATTAAAGTTATATTAATTATTTACACCAAAATATTTTTTAAAAATGGACAAATGTACATAATAAAATATGATAAATTAAAAAATAAATTTTGCTTGTTTATGTCAATTAATCTAAATATATGAAAATAATTAATATAAATTAAGAAGACTTAGATTGCATTAGCCATCGGTAGATCCGTTTAATGCGAATGCATTCGTGATATGTATGTAATTTTTGTATGTGTATAGGTAATTGCAAAATTGTTGAAATATAAAAATGTTACGTTATAATGCTCAATTTTTATATATTTCTATAATGCTTTAAAATATGCAAAAAATTTTATGATATTAAATTTTTCCAAGAGACCAGATAGAGTATTCTCGATTAATTTATATTTTAATGGTGACATACGAGTATATAAAATCACATAAGAATTATGTAAAAACTTATTAACATAAATGTTCATAAATAGCCAACGATAAAAGTTGTTAGATAATCGATATTTAATAATAAACTAATAGATCATTCATTTTTTTATTGAACGAAATACCAATTAAGCTTGCTTTTTATTAAACTTTGATTTACTATTATTTTTTCCCCAATATAGATATTTTTTTTATCTGATTTTGCAAACTAAATCGGAAGAGAGTCGTTTTTCTTGTATTATTAAATTTATGTACATACTACATATATGAATAAACATGTATATAAAATGAGGCTCGAAAGAATCTATCAGTAAAAAATATAAAAAAGCTTATCAGAGCCTACATCAGCTGTTCGGATGCATAGAAAACTTTTTATTCTCGTGCGAATGTAACAAAACGAATATAAACGTTTCGACTCTTCAATTTGGGTCCTTATCAATAAAAAATATAAATCTAAATTACATAAGTAACGCAAATTCCAAGATAGTGATTCCTGACAATTTAGCTCGTTCTTCTTTATCCAAGTGCCAAATTAGCTATGTAATGAATAGCTAAATGATTATCAAAAATATTAACTTATACAATAATAATATAAAAACTTACATAAAGTAAAACCGGAGTCATATACATTGCGTCGAAAAGTAGAATCACATCGCTGATCAATGTATGTAGGCTCTGATGGGCTTTTCTGTATTTTTTACTACTACATATATGTACAATTATTGGCTTTCATTTTTTGTTAAGAAATAAACATTTTTAGAGATGATTCTGAGATGTTTGATTACCGATAGAGATAGAAAGCTGGGGAAACTTTGCTAAAATCCTTGAAATGGCGTTTCAAATTTCCGGAATGTTGCAGGCGTGGAAGTTACGGATTCAGTGGAAGAAAAATTACGTACACGACTCTTGCATCAGGCAATAATAAGAGCGATGCGCTCTTTTCTGCAAAGAAAAAAAATATTTTCTTACAATTCGCACTGACCCTGTGGAAAATAGATAGTTTTTAAGATCATTTGCTATAGTATATTATCGTGCAGAAAAATGCAGATACGTACGTATAAATATAATAAATATAGAAGTAAATGTAAAATCTTAAGCATGTATATTTTAATTTTCCAGAGTCATCAATACGTTTATTAAAATAGAGAGAAATAATAATATCTTTGTTATAAAATATTTATTTTAACAAATCAACTGATTGTAATAAATTTCATTTTTTATTATGCTTTGTTGTACATGTATAATATTAAAAATATTTAAATTTTTGTGTACAATAATATTTATCTTTATAATTTTAAAAATATTTTTGGATCGATTTTTCTTTTATGAAAATATAATAATGCATGTATGTATGTATATATCATGATATAAATTATTTTACGTACTCGTGTATGTGCTTTTTAAATTTTTATCTTTTTTACTTCTATTCATCTTTCTCGAAATAATTCTATTTGCATAATTCGAATATATACATATATCGACACAAGCTCTTAATTTAATTTATTAAAATAGTTTTAATTAATGCTCGTTGAAGTCACGATTATACGTTGAATATCGATTATATTGATGTAGTGCAAGCCTCCGTTTAGCTTTTGTAATCAATGCGGCGTTACACTGCATGTCCCGCATCCTGGATGTATTTACTACTAAGGGCCGATGGTAGTGACGTGGTTTAGCGCTAACCCAGTTCAACTAAATTTTCTTTCCCTGTCGATGTTGTAGAAAGCACTATAATCCAGAAAGAGACAACAAGTCGCCAACTCAGAGTTAGATAACCCATATTGTCGGTGTCTAACCTCATCTAACAGTGTCTTTTATTATACGCAGTTGATCGTATTAAGGGATGTTATGTGGGACAGTGTCCACTTACGGTTTATGAGGGACTTTTATGCAAAATGGCTCTGTATTTCATTGCTCTGTTGAAGAAAGCAGTTGAGCATATAATAGAGATTTTATGGAAGAAATTCAATTTTTAATAATTTATTTTTCGTATTTCTTTTTATAATTATATGTATATTGCATAGATATCATAATGTGGTATATGTACATACATAATTTTATAAAAATTAATTATCAAGATATAATACTACAAAAATTAGGATATATAAATAATAAAAATATAGTAATATAATACTAATAATTTTTTATTTTTTTGCGTAAAGATGTGTTTCTAACTGCATATTACAGCAGAAAATAAAGCCTCAAATATTTTCGTTAATTTGTTTCTGGAAAGATAAAATCCATTTATGTTCTTATATAAATAATTTTTTATTATTTTATGTTTTATTATTTTTTTATTTTATTATTTAATATCTTCTATATTTTCTGTGTTTTCTAACTACATAGCAAATTATTTTTATGGTATTACATGACTGATAAAAAATGTAATAAAAGATTAAGTATAAACAAGATCGAAAGAGGAATCGTATGTGTTCGTAAGTAAGTGATTGGCCCGCGGGTAAAAAGGGAAAGGAAGATAGTACAAGAGGAACTATTTCCCTATAGATCGCATACCCGAAAGGCATTGGTACAGGTGAAAATTAAATTAAGATGCATAGAGATCCGAGTGTTGGAATTCTTTCCCTTTTTCTCACTTTTTTCTCTCCTCTCACGATAACATCAGAATATATTGTTATTCCGTGAAACGGATCCAGCCGAAGCAATGAAAAATATTGTAGCGGAGTTATAAAAAATACCTGTTCGTGCATTTTCCCGCAGCAGTAAAACTTGAGTATTCTCTAAGGAAATTTGTATTAAACATAAATCATTAACTTCCCTTCGATTAATGAGACTTTGCAGACAGTTTGATTTCTATATAACGTTCTGTATAATTAATATTTTTCGAAAAAAAAGTGATCTCTCTCGCATTAAATTAACTCAATACAGTGTTTTTCTTAAGTTCTTATCGACTTTTTAAATTCTGTTGCATGAAGGCGATATACATATTTATGCTCCGTATATTATCTTTTGAATCTTTCGAACTACACGTATTTTTCTTGAAATGTGCATGTATATATTCTCTGTTTTCTTATTTTATTTAAAACATTTAAAAGAACGGCGTTTTGCCAGCAAGAAATGTGCAAATATAAAAATTATTCTTGCTATTCCTTACTACTAGCAGATTGCAATTTCTTCAAGCTTGAGAACTTTTATCATTACCGTTATCATTACCGTTACTTAGAAAATAACTCATTCATTATTTTTTTACTTTTTAGTAATGCTAAAAAGACTTAAAAGTTAGACTTAAAAATTATTTAACAATTAATATTAATTATGGCAATTAATATTAAAACTAATCTTCATACAGTAAGCTGTTTTTTATATTGAATTTATCTATTAATAAATTGTTTACAATTTTTGATATTAATATCTTTATTTTTTAATATTAAATATACTTATCTTTAAAAACTTAGTTTTTAATTTACAAACCCAAATTTTATTAACAATTTTTACTAAACGTGATAAACATTAATGCTATTATTAAAAGCGCATTTCACTATTTACTGCTAATATTAAAAATTTATAGCTTACGTTACATATACATATCTAGATGTTTAGCATTGGCAGTGATTATTGGAATCCAGCTTAAGATATAAAGTACAAAAATATTTTTCAGCATTTAAATTTTTATTTAAATAAAATATTTCCGTCCAAAAAACAATGCGATCTGTTGAATAGGTATAAAGATAATAGGGGATTGACAATAAAAGTAATGGTTGTTTGTTCCTATTACTGTAAAAATGTAACAATCGTTATCGAAAAAGCAACGATATTGGTAGTGGAGTTACATGTAACGTGTTACTTCCCAATTCTAATTTTCTCTGGTTGCTTTTCTGATAAAAGCATATTAATTTCAGATTGGAAAAGTATACCAATGGAAAAACTTGGGTATTATTCTATTAGCGGCAAGTTTAATACAATAATAAGGCAGCAGATCGTATAGCGACATAAATTAATAGTCTTTTGAACACGTGTGTGTGTGTGTGTGTGTGTGTGTGTGTGTGTGTGTGTGTATGTCTCTATGATACTATTATAACATATATAGATAAAATGTGAGTGACGGGAATAGACATGATAGGTATGTAGATGTAGATATATGTCTAAGTTCTTGTCTCTCGACCTTTCAAATAATCATGCTTTTTTTGTATTTTTTTTCCCCCTCTTTTCTGTCATTTTTCTACAGTCGCAACATTTGACGATACCAGTGTTATGGCATCTCGAGTTTTAAAAA